GGAGGGATGGAGAGATGGAGGGATTGAGTGACGTAGAGATGGAGGGAGGGTAGAGTGAAATTGCAGAACGAAGTTATTGCATACGTTCTACTTCATTACTTTCATCAGCTACCTTCAAGATAACGTCATCAAGAAGATCCCTTATGGTCTTTTCCATCAGCAAAAATATCTTAATGTTTTGTAAGTAACAACTCTTCTTTTATCATGCGATTAGTTGCTGAACTAAAGAATTTGATACTAATCATGAAAAATCAACCTTCTTCGTTACTTTAAGTTGGTTCTTTCTTAATTGATACCTTAGGTTTCTTCATAAAAACAAAATTGAACGTATCGACAAGTCATCTTTTGAAGGCCTTGGGAAACTACGAAAGCTGTAAGTTATTTTCAAAGGGATATATATAGCTAGAGATGTCCCCGGCCATAGCTGCGTAATGCTTACTCCCCACTAACCTGGCATCACACGAAAATCCATGATGACGTAGATGTTGTTTTATAAGAACGCATTAATAAATGCATTTTTGATTTAATTTGTTCATTATTTATCTCTAGGACATTAAGGAACAATTCAATCAATGAACAAACCGTGTCTAAAGATGTCTTCAATGATCTGCGCGATCTAGAATACCTGTGAGTTGTAATGTCCAGTGTTTTTTTTTTTAATTATTATTTTTGACTAAATCATGCTGCAAGTTTTATCATTTACTAGATGAATTGGGTCGGTATTTTTCTTTCCGGTTTTTTCCCCAGGTCAACAGACAGTTTCATCATATGTTGCTATGCAACCAATTCCATCTCAAACATTCAATGCGAATCCCCTGGCAACGAGTTCTCAAGTTGTAATGACATGCTCAAAAGCATTTACGTACAAATCTGCATGTGGATCGAAGGTGTTTTCGCTGCCTTAGGGAATCTGGTTGTCATAATATGGTGGACATTCCTTTTCACAAGACAAAGAAAATCGCGAAGAAAGATAAACAGAGTCCAATCTTTGTTGTTTTGCCATCTCGCGTTTGCTGATCTTCTCATGGGAGTATATCTTCTGTTCATTGGAACTTACAATGAAATATGGAAGGGAGAATACTTTCTGCACGACGTGGAGTGGAGAGCTGGTGTCAAGTGTAAAATAGCAGGCGTCATTGCTACTTTGTCCAGCGAAGTCTCAGTCATGCTTTTGGCTGCCATAACAGCAGATAGGATGAACACAATTCTCTTTAAATTCTCAGCCAGACGCACCAGTTTTAAACTGGCTCATGTTCTCTGTCTGTTTATCTGGGTCATTGGATTCATCATGTCTTTCACTCCCCTTCTTGTTCCAAGCTACTTCAACGACAAGATATCGGGCTTCAGTTTTTACGGCCGTTCCACTGTCTGTCTGCCGCTACAGTTGTCCACCGATCGTCCTGCTGGTTGGGAGTAYTCAGTTGCTGTTTTCATTGGCTTCAATGGCGCAGTTTTTTTCTTCATTCTTGTTGGATACATCGCGATTTTCGACAAAGTTCGCAAGTCTGGTCGAAAAGTGCGTAAATCATCAAATAACGCGGAATCCTCATTGGGGAAGCGGGTTTTCTTTGTGATTCTGACCRATTTCTGCTGTTGGATGCCAATCATGGTTCTTGGCGTGCTCTCTTTGATGGGTAAATTCAATGACCCTTCTGTGTATATCTGGGTAGGAGTATTCGTACTTCCCATCAACTCAGCCATCAATCCAGTACTGTACACCTTCTCTTCCTCGCAAACGATCAACAACATTAGGTCACTCAGACGAAAGTGGTTGAAAGATAAAGGTATTAAATCCACAGCTAAATGGTCGGGAGGTAATGGGGATAATGTGTGTATAATACAATATATATCAGTATCCTCCTGCACACGGTTAGTGAGTAGGACTCATAAGATATTTGATATTGAAAACCAAGCGGCCTGTCCGTCTGCCGTAATCAAAAACATTTGACACGGATTCAGCGAGAAAAGGTCAGGTCAAACAATTGCGTGCGCATATCAGAAGTGGAGCACACGAATGCACTAGCGCATTATTTAAAAAGATGAGGAAACGAAGTTTTTGGCTCGCGTTAATTATCTACAGCGAATTTGGTGTTGCTTGCATTCTGTAAAAGAGAACAGTTGTTCGATCCGAGACTTAAATCATCACTTTTGTCTTTCTTTTGAAGGGAGTATTCGCTTAGACGGAAAACATTTGTTCAGGAAAAGAAAGTCTGAACAAAGCAGTTCAGCAGTAACGACTGCATTAACTCTTCTGAAAACGAACGACGAACCTTATGGAGTGAGTACAAACATGTCTTTTAAATCATATGGTTTATTCAATAATGGTTTTGTTTTATTGATGTTGCTATACACCGAATCGAATTGCGATCAATTTGAATAACTATTGTTCTGGTCTAACTAGCCTCGTGCTCACGTGGAAATACAAAAGCGTTTTCACATGTATGAGAGGCTAGTCACTCGCTAGTCAGTACAGAACAATAGTTTTTTCAAATTGGCCGCCATATTTCGATTCGTTGTATGTTGTTTATAARACCGGACTCGGTTCCAAAGTTCACTTACCTGGGACCAAAATCCATCCAACCTCGTTCAAGGGTCCTATTTTTTAAATTGTTTTTATGAAAAACTTTTCTTTTAAAAAATCATCGTTTTTCTGTTACAGGATGAAGGCAAGATAAATGAATCAGACAAAGCCTCGTCATCTGCTGAACGACAAATGCTAGTAATAGCCGAGCGTCAGTTACTGGTGAAGGTTGACGATGAAGAAAAGAAGAGTATTATGAGGTTGTTACTCATGACGAGGTCACAGCCATAAATGGATAAGCCATTTATTACCTAAACTTGTAGATAGATAAGAAGTTGGTACAATTGCTCTGTATCCAATGTGGTACCCACTGTTCCCTCTGTTCCTGTGAGGCTGTTCGGTGCTCATGACGAGGTCACAGCCACAGATTAAGCCATTACTTGTCAGCTTGCCTAACAATTGTAGTTTGCTAAAAATTGGATAAAAATGCTTTGTATGTTGACAGAGCATTATAAGGCTGTTGCTCATGACTAGGTCACAGCTATAGATTAAGGCATTGTGCTTCTTGTACTTACCTAAAATTGTAGTTTGATAAGAAGTGAGTAAATATGCTTTTTATGTCCTAAGCTAAAACATTGTATTGCCTAGTAATAGGAAGAAATGTCCGATAATTGTATAATAATAATATGATACTTCTGGTTATTTAAAAGATGTTGATAGTTCATAAGTTGCAAACAAACAAAAAAACTATTCCAAGAGTGAAATCTCTTAAATATAATAAAATTAACTATTAAAAATGTAAATGGTTTTCATATACCAGTCTTCCAAAAACCTGTTATTCAGGAATTCTCCTCCACGAAAACATGCAAAAACTAGTTAAACAATTTCATATAGGATTGAGTATTATGTATTATTGGAGACTCGACTTATTATGGATTGCGCGCCAGTTTTCAACGAGATAAAGGCTGCCCTTTGATATCATCTCATACCTTTGAGTTTGGTGACCCTCATTTAATTATGTGGCACTTATCTCTTCCCAAATACCTCAGTGACCAACTTGAGCTGATCCAACGGCGTGGTACGAAGATCATCTACCCTCAGTTACYATACAAAGAGAGACTAAAAGAACTTAACTACTGTTATCCGAAAGGCGCGAAATGTTGTGCAAAGATTTCCACCTAAAAATAATCATGAAAACAGTAAATTGGCCGACCTCCTCCCAATACCAAGGCAGATAAAATACAACACGAGAGAATCCCGACGACTTCCACCAATAAAGTTTTTCAATTTTATTACCTCTTATAAATTTCAAGTTTTAATAAAGTTATTATTATATTATAATTTAACGTAATAAACGTTTTTAACCATGCAAAATTTGATCGAAAATAAAATCTGGGAAACGGATTTGCTCGTGAACGCCTTCTAAAAGAATCAACTGTGAGTTATTTTAATTTATAGGGGAAAAAATCGGGGGAAAAAGCCCATGTCATATTGTAAAAGGAGCCAATTAACAAGGAATTATTGGAAAGCGAAATTTAAAAATAAACAAATTAAGTGTTCTTTTGTGCTGGACAATAACTCAAGCTTTTAATTTTACTCAATCTTTGATTGGGCAAAGCGTTTCACAATAAGATAATCTTTTTTACAGTTTCATTTTGTAATGGCCATCAACAACATGATAAATATCATGCTTATATTAACTACATCTTCGAAAGTGCATTGAATGTTTTTGCTTTTTCAAAGTAAAGTAGCAGTTTTTTTTTTTTTTTAAGTTGCAAAACAAACTTAGAGTTGTACCTTCATAATAAGGCAATGGCAAAAACAAGGTTCAATAATTTATGGCACGTTACTCTCACATGGTTAATAAGWRMTATATACAATGGAACAACGATCTTCAAGGACATTGCACATATAAGGTCTTCGGTCAAACTTGGCTCAGATCTATCGTGTATTTTAGGCAAAACTGAATATAGATGTTATATTAACAACTTTATCACATACTATATATACAATCTTTTAGGAAACAGTACACATTAAGGTTCTTGTATTTTAGGGCACAATCAAAAATTAGATAATACAATCTTCCACCAGCACTGTACAACTAAAGYCCATGGTTCCAWYTTCTGTTGTACCRTGTATTTCAGACAAAACCAAATATGAATGAAAAATTCATAAATTCATCAAACATGTTCTATATACAATACTCCAATASAATTCTACAAAGAAGGTCCTTGGTAAGTCTACTGTGTATTTCAGCAAAACTAAATATAAATGATCACATTTAAAATTACACATCTTTATATACGATCTTCCAGCACTGTATAATTAAGGTTTTTGCATGGTCAAATATTTCTAATCACTCATAGTGAAAAATGATAAGGCTTATGATTTAACGGATTTTAATGAATCAGAAACAAAGTTGCAGACAAATTTTAAAAACATTGTTCCATACTTTGTATTTATGCTGTTTTATACTTGTAAGTGCACCCAATGCATCACCCAGACGGGCAGGTCGTAGGGCAGGATCTTGTAGTACTTCCTTCTAATTGACCTTCAATGATATCAGACCAAGACACAACATTTCCTCCCGCTATTCCAACGCAGCTCGTGTTGTAGAGATTGCTTACGTCCTGTTCACTAAACACTCTGTCCCAGATATTAAGTCCAGCCAAGTTGCCAACCATCAATTTTTCATCATCAAAGTTTCCGCCGTAACTTCCTTGTAACTGTCCAATGATGAGTTTTCCTCCACTCAGTAGCTTGTCGTCCTTGCTCAAGTCTTTGTCCTCGTCTAACAGCAAACCATTGCGATAGTACAAAACCTTTCCCGGATATGGTGAATCTACTCGATTCCAAGTAAGGCAGCAATGTTGCCATTTGTTATCCCGAACAACTCGGAAATCAAGCGTCCTAAAATTAGAACATTAAACACATCTATTAATAGCAAATAGTGCAAACGATCGTGAATGATACGCAAGCATATGAAGGTCCATGGTCTTGACGAGAAGGAGAAGCAGAAACACAAGTCATTACAGCTATTCTTAGATTTTATAATGACCGATCTACTATTGCTTTTCGCCTACCTCCGTTTTTGAATTAGGTGTATATGTAGTATATAAGTGCACATATAGGTGTATACATTGAATGTATTTCCCATATCACACTTGATACAGAAGAAAGTTGTATCAAGGAGCTACCTACTTTTGATCATTCATGATTTTGAYATCTGCATCTCCACTTGTTTTTATTTTGATGTTTAAAGCGTCGGTCTCGGAAACGGTGGCATACGAGAAAGGATATACTTCATCATCGTAACTTGGGGGAACCTGAAAAATTGTTAAAAATTAAACTAAGTTTATCGTTAATCACCACCGCAAGTTTAGCAGTGGCACATCTCTGCGGCAACGAAATGAAAGCAATGTAAAGCGCAGCCGAAATTTTTCTATTTTGGCCCTAGCCTGAGCTAAAATAGCACTACTTTGAAAAAGCCAAAATGGCTCTCTGGGGCCAAATTGGTCCTCTCAAATTTGGTGGTCTCGGAAAGCGCGCAATGCATGATTTTCTGAATTGAAAAAGAATCAATTCCTAACATGACCGCGCGCCTAGAGTCCTGCAAGAAACATTGCCGTGAAGGACGCCATTTTGTTTTAAGTTAGATTTGAATATGTATTCTCTTTAAATGTAGTGCGAAATATTGGTGAAAAGAAGTCATAGCTGCACATTTGAAGTCTATAGTAATGTTTCAAGTTATGCACAAGTACAATTTTACAAGAAAAGCTTATTTTAAGTAAGTGTTTATCCGATTTTGTAATTGCGGTATAGCAAACAAAGTAATTAACCTTCGAAAATGATTGAAAACTTGATAATATGCTCAAATTGCTATTTAGTAGTAACGTGTATGTACGTATATTAATATTTTTAATGACAATAATCCTTTTTTTGATTTAAAAATGTGTTGTACTTACGTGCTATTCTTATGTGTTGTGTTCTTGATTATTATCGATCCCTATACACATATCTTGTCTTTTTCTACTTCTCGAGGCGCGGAAAGTTCTATTGGGATTGATTCTTTTTCAGCAATTTTGCATTTTGGATAATCGATTTCCGACATATCATCTGGAGGGAGCAAAAGCCGAAAGCAGGAAAAACCCTCGGAGTCAGACTGAAATAGAACCAACCAACTCAGCTTATAGCTCAGTTGGTTAGTGCGCGACCTTCAGAGCTTGAGATCCACGGTTCGATCCTTAGGATATCCACGTCTGTTTCGACTTTTCTCTAATCCGTGTAGCTTCAGCTTTAAATACTCTTAAAACAGAGCACTGATGGAGAGAGGGGGGTAAAGTGCGCACCGTCGGCTTCCATTGATAGCAGTTGAATTTCAACTGAAGGAACTACCGACGTTAAATATAGGTACTTTACTTTACTTTTTTTACTTTTACATGTTGCAACCCCAGGGAATCGGAACTCCAAATTAAACCGAGGCGAGAGGCTAGCCTCTAACAGGCAAGACATCGTGACTTAGAAAATGTAAATGTATATATACATTATAAATTTATGCTCGCAATATATGTATGCTCGCAATATACCTTGATCCAGAATGATAGAGTTAAATTCGAGAGATCAGATAAAGTCGACCAGTTGGCATGAACAAGGTTATTGATGTTTGCACTCGGAAAGTAAAGGTCACAGGTAGCACCTTCAATCAGGGAGGTAAAATAAAGTATAATAATATTATTATTATAATAAATATTGATATTGTAGTGTCGGGATCCCTGTGTAAGGAACAAATTATGGGATGTGAGAGCAAGCACATGGAGTGAGAGCTATGTATGTGGGTTTGAGTCAAGTAGGGTGTGAGAGTAGAGCTTAAAGACGCTGTTAACCGGTYGTTTACTTGCTGGAACTCTACAGATATGAATTCTATTCAATAGAAAAATAATAATAAAACCCCCCGGGTGGGGGGGATACTCGCTTTGTTCAGGTGGTAGGGGTGATCGGCGCCCCTCTTAGGGTTGAAAATGTTCCCTGTGTGGACCTTTTAGGAGTTCCGGCTCAAAAGTCAATTACGTAACATAACTCCGTACCTTTTGGAATCATTTATTGTGCGCGTTATCCATGCTATGCCGCTGTTTAATTTACAATGATATGGGGCCATTTTAAAAATCGACCGCCGATCACCCCTACCACCTGAACAAAGGGAGTATCCCCCACTCGGGAATAATGACTGCAAACTTACTGTCTTGAAATTCACAATTTGTTCCTCTGTAACCTGCAGCACATGTACAAGAGTAGCCATTGACCTGATCTGTGCATGTTCCACCGTTTTGACATGGATTACTAGAACACTCGTTGATATCTGTAAATAAATGGCTCCATATTGATCTGTATTCTATTCAATAGACAATGATAACTACAAACTTACTATTTTGGCAATTTGCTCCATTGTATCCTGCAGCACATGTACAGGAGTAGCCATTGACTTGATCTGTACATGTTCCACCGTTTTGACATGGATTACTAGAACACTCGTTGATATCTGTTTATTAAATCATCCACAAAGTTATTTGTATGTATGTATGTCATCTATCTAACCTGCAGAACAAATTGCTTTATTTTTTCTAAAAATATGTATATGATTCTTGACTAACCCACTTCACAGCGGTCGCCTTCAAAACCATATGCACAATGACACTCAGGTGTCAGACCTGCGCAGTTTAGTTTACAGGTTCCTCCATTTTGACATCGGTTTTGATAGCAGCCAGATATCTATGGAGTAAATAGAATGTTTTTTTTCGTTGTTGTTATTTTAGTTTTTCATAACTTTTAAACCAGTTTGCTTCTCAAGGCTTAACTGTTGCCTAGTTTTATACTGTAGAAGGAGTATTTACTGGGAAATATAATTTATTATTTTCGAAGGCAAATGAAATTTGATGCTGCAAAAACGCTTGTAACTTCAAGTTTATTAAAGATGTGGAGTTTGAGGTCTAGCAATTGATCGAATAGTACAGGAATACATCAATTCATTATCATCACATGTTTCTTGTCATTAACATCATCATCATCATGGTCATCAACATCATCATCATATCATCATCATCATCATGGTCATCAACATCATCTCGCTCACCTTTAACTCAGTATTAATGTGTTTTTCAGGGAAACAATATCATAGATTGAAGTTCGACTGTCTTATCTTTGTTGATTAAACGAAACAAACTTTATTACTATTTTATATTTTAATTAAATCACACTTTAAAGTGACAATGTTATTTTTTTCCATCTCGAGGGGCTTGATGAATAGCGCTAAATGAGAAAAATTAGGAAACACTATGTATTGTAGGTCGATTTAGAGCCCATTTTTTTATTTCTGAATTCTATCTCTAACTTTTACTCCCTCCTTTTTCCCCCTCTTTGGTAGAGGGGGGGGGGGGGGG